GCAAACCAACCCCAAACCCAGCAGAAGAAAAGAAATAACAAAGATCAGAGCAGAACTAAATGAAATCGATAGCAAAAAACCTATATGGAAGATTAATAAAACAAAAAGTTTGTTCTTTGAAAAAATAAAATTGACACACCTCTTGCTAGATTAACTAGAAGTAGAAAAGAAAGGACTCTAATAAGCTCCATCAGGAATGAAAAAGGAGAAATTACAACTGATACCATGGAAATACAAAATATCATCTATGAATACTATAAAAACCTCTATACACATAAATTTGAAAATGTGGAATGTATGGACAAATTCTTAGAAACACACAGCCTCCCTAGGCTCAATCGTGAAGAAATAGAATTCTTGAGCAGACCAATATCAAGTACCAAAATTGAAGCAGCAATACAAAACCTTCCTAAAAGAAAAGTCCTGAACTAGATTGTTTGACACCCAAATTTTACCAGACGTACAAAGAAGAACTGGTGCCTATCCTGCAGAAATTATTCCACAACATCAAGAAGGAGGAATCCTCCCCAGCATGTTTCATTAAGCCAACATTACCCTGATACCAAATCAGGAAAAGATGCAACAAAAAAGGAAAACTATAGACCAATGTCACTTATGAATATAGATGCAAAAATTCTCAACAAAATCCTAGCAAACCCAAGTCAGGTGGTTATCAAACAAATAATCCATCATGACCTAGTGGGCTTCATCCCAAAGATGCAGACATGGTTCAATATATGCAAATCTATAAATGTAATTCACTACATAAATAGAAAGAAAAACAAAGACCATATGATCCTCTCAATAGATGCAGAAAAAGCATTTGACAAAATTCAGCACCCTTTTATGATAAGAATGCTTAACAAAATAGGCATAGATGGGACTTACCTAAAAATGTTACAAGCCACATATGACAAACCCACAGCCAACATCATACTGAATGGGGAAAAATTGAAAGCATTCCCACTTACCACTGGAACCAGACAAGGTTGCCCTCTATCACTGCTTCTGTTCAACATAGTGCTGGAAGTCATAGCCAGATCAATCAGACAAGAGAAGGAAATCCAGATCATCCAAATGGGGGCAGAAGAGGTCAAACTATCGCTCTTTGCTAATGATATAATCTTAAATCTAGACCACCTGAAAGATTCTGCCATAAGACTACTGGAATTGGTAAACAAATTTGGCAAAATCCGAGGTTACAAAATCAACGTGCAGAAATCAGAAGCATTCCTATACACCAAAAACAGTCAGGCTGAGAACCAAATCAAAGACTCAATACCCTTCACAATAGCAACAAAGAAAATAAAATACCTAGGAATATATTTAACCAAGGAGGTAAAAGACCTCTATAAGGAGAACTACAAAACACTGAGGAAGGAAATAGCAGAGGATATAAACAGGTAAAAAACCATACCATGCTTATAGGTCAGCAGAATCAACATTGTTAAAATGTCTGTACTACTCAAAGTGATCTACAGATTCAGAGCAATCCCTATTAAAATGCCAACATCATATTTTCAGATCTAGAAAAAATAATTCTATTCTTTGTATGGAACCAGAGAAGACCCCATATAGCAAAAGCAATCTTAAGCAAAAAGAACAAATTTAGATGTATCAATTTTTCAGGCATCAAGGTATACCACAAGGCTATAGTAACTAAAACAGCATGGTACTGGCACAAGAACAGAGACATATAACAATGGAACAGAACTGAGAATCCAGATGCAAAACCATCCTCACACAGCCATCTAATCCTTGACAAAGCAGACAAAAACATACACTGGGGAAAAAAATCCTTATTCAATAAATGCTGCTGGGAAAACTGGATAGCCACATGTAGAAGACTGAAACAGGATCTGTACATCTCACCTCTCACAAAAATCAACTCACAGTGGATAACAGACTTAAACCTAAAGCATGAAACTATAAGAATTCTGGAAGAAAGTGTTGGAAAAACTCTTACAGACATTGGCCTAGGCAAAGAATTCATGAAGAAGACCCCAAGAGCAATCACAGCAACAACAAAAATAAATAAATGGGACCTGATCAAATTAAAAAGCTTCTGCATATCCAAAGAAACTATCAGGAGAGCAAACAGATAACCTACAGAATGGGAGGAAATATTCACATGCTACACATATGATAAAGGGCTGATAAGTAAAGTCTATATAGAACTCAGGAAAATCGGCAAGAAAAAATCAAACAAACCCATCAAAAAGTGGGCAAAGACATGAACAGAAACTTTTCAAAAGAAGACAGAATAATGGCCAACAAACATACGAAAAAATGCTCAGCATCTCTAATTATCAGGGAAATGCAAATCAAAACCACAATGAGATATCACTTAACTCCAGTGAGAATGGCCTTTATCAAAAAGTCCCAAAACAATAAATGTTGGTGTTGATGTGGAGAGATAGGAACACTCTTACACTCCTGGTGGAACAGCAAACTAGTACAACCTCTGTGGAAAATAATATGGAGATGCCTCAAAGAGCTAAAAGCAGAACTACCGTTTGATCCAGCAATCCAATTACTGGGCATCTACCCAAAGGAAAAACAGACATTCTATAAAAAAGACATCTGCACACGAATGTTTATAGCAGCACAACTCACAATTGCAAAGATGTGGAAACAACCCAAGTGCCCATCAATACATGAGTGTATTAATAAAACGTGGTATATGTATACCATGGAGTTCTACTCAGCCATAAAAAAAAATGGTGATCTAGCACCTCTTGTATTATCCTGAATGGAGCTAGAGCCCATTCTCCTAAGTATCACAAGAATGGAAAAACAAGCACCACACGTACTCACCATCAAACTAGTACTAACTGATCAACACTTATGTACACATATAGTACTAACATTCATTGGGTGTTGGACAGGTGGGAGGGGGATGAAGGAGATGGGTATATTCACACCTAATGGGTGAAGTGCACGCTGTCTAGAGGATGGACACGCTTGAAGCTCTGACTCAGGCAGGGCAAAGGCAATATATGTAACATAAACATTTGTACCCCCATAATATGCTGAAATAAAAATAAAGTGCTTAACATAATTCTACTTGTGTTAGCTGTTCTTATTAATAGATCATTTAATCCTTATGATAACCAGTAAATTAAGCATTATGATACCATTATTTTTTAGATAAGGAAATTGAGGCCTATGGAGCCAAATCATTTCCCACAGTTATTAAAAGATAAAAGGGAGAGTGGAATACATTTCCATCTCAGCTCTGAAGTCCTTGCTTTTAAGTTACTAGGCATGCTATGTTCCAGTTCCACTCTTGGCAGATATGTAAAGAGTGTTGAGTAGTTGCCAGTCATAAATATTGCTTGACTCAATGTCAAACTTCCCTTACAGCTGTTAACCCATACATTGATTATTCAGACTCCTTACCTTTGAAGCTCTAATGCGTTGTCTTTTTGCCTGGATTCCAATCCTTGCTATCCTAATCATTACATAGTCGTAGATTTTAAAATAGCTGCCTAGTTTTTGATGTCTCTACTTGTTTGATTCTTGGTCTTAATGCTTGCCTGCTCCTAGTCCATCTACCTACTTATGACTCAAAGCTTCTCTTCATTTAGGTTACAGTTCAAATCTCACCTTGATCTGTAACGTCATCTTCATGTATTTTCTTTAGTACTTATCACAATCTGAAAATGTTCATTGTCTTCCCTTCTCCCCAACAAGAATATAATCTGCATGACAGCAGACGCCTGTATTTCTGTTTTTTGTTTTGCTGCTTTGCCTTCAGAGCGCAGAATAAGCATTCAAAAATTAAGTGAGTGAATTAGCTTGGTGTCCGGTCCTCACAACCCATGCTCTCCAGCTTAAACTTTTTAATGGTTCTAACCCTCAGCCTATCCCTTCACAACATGACACAACTTAAGTGATTCACTCACCCTCCTTGTACTTAGAGTTGACTACCACTTAGCTCCTGAGCTAATAGCTGATGACAATGTAGTCATTCTAATGACAAAGTAGTAATTTCGACAGTCACTTTAATTTAAATGGAACTCCACTTTAAAGAGACTTAATTATAATTTTTAATCAAAATTTTGGAATAAGTATTATTTTCTGCTTTAATAAAGTTATAAATTCAGTTATGATCCCTTATAGGATTTTATTTACACAGTAATATTTTACTTCATTACAGTGAGACAATAGATGTAAAGCGCCTAGAAATTTTTTATTAAAAATTTTCATTATTAAAATTGCTTGCCCTTTTAAAAAGTATAGATTCTTGAAACACTGTGAGGTATGGTAATTTAGATTACCTAAAAATTAAAACTTGAAATCTTTAGTTTTATTTTCAACAACAACTCAAGAATTTAGAGAAAGATAATTTAAGACAAAGGCACTCTCCCTAAATTCAGAGCAAGCAAAGATCACAGAGAAGAGAGAAATAACAGATATTTTAAAATAGAAGTTCCCAGACATAATTCTTCTTTTAATGTGGTTCTAGCTCATTCTTAGTTAAAATAAAATCTTATAGATATGTTTAACTGTTGGACCCATAGATCTTTCAGATGGACCACACAACAAGACAATTATGTATCAGTAACTTATAGATGTAAGAATTAATGTAGTTGATTATATTTCATTTTAAATTTTTATAGAATCCCTTATGCAGGAGTATAAAGATAGAGTAAATCAACTGTGGAAATTATCTCAAACATACTAGTTCATTGCTTGAAATAAAGAATTGAATTTTCTGAAATATGCTTCTAAGATACAGCCCAGTATTATGAACTATTAAGAAGTGTTAAATTTCTGTGTGATAATGGTTTTTTAAAACTTGTGCACATAGCTTTCGTTAATAACTTTAAAAATGAATATTTGGAGCTGTTTTCGCCATAAAGATATCTGACTTGACTATGATACAACTTTATGACAAATAAATCATTAAAAATTAATCCCCCTAACCATGTTTGATTTCATATGGATTTATAGTCCTGTGTTTTCTTTCAAATTATTTTTCTTTTAAATCTTAGCATGCACACCACAGAATCAAAAAATGAACATGTGGAGAATAAAAACTCCCAAACATCTACAATTCCTCAGGTAAAAACTTAAAACTATATTGTAATATATGATATAAAATGAATCTGATCTTAAAAATTATTTCTAAAATTTACCTATTAGTTTCTTTTATATGTCTGGTTAAAAAATGAAAAGTGGTAATTTTAAAATAGCTAGTTTTAATGGGTCCTAGGAAATGAGCAGAAAGAATGGAACAAATGAAAAGAGCAGTTACAAAGTATTTTAGAGATGAAGAGTGCAGATTTTAGGAATAAGGAGAAATGTGGCTTATTACTTCTTGCCACATCCAGGAAAAACTCAGTAATTTAAATTAAGGTAAAGATGAGTCTCAATCAATTATAATATTGCGCTGTGTATTTTGAAGAGATGCAAGTTTTTTATTTTTATAAGTGTATAGAGTAAGTCATTAGACCCTTTGTTGATCTAGTTTTACTAAATAATAATTGCTTATAATTAGAATTATAAATTGCTTATTTATTAAAATAGGGGTTTCTACAGTTCTTAAGGGCCAAAAAAGTCCTTTCTAAAAATATTTTAAATATTCACCATTGATTCTAATCACTTTATCTGTGAAGAAGTCATCCGAGTCTATGTCGATTTATTATAAATCTGAAATAATAAAACAAAATAATATAGTTTTACTCTATATGACCTTTCACCCACCTTAATAAAAATTCACTGTTGTGTCTTTAGCCCTTTTATATAGTGACAGAAATATCTAGAAAAAGCCTCTACACCAGAACTCCAGCAGGTTACTCATGATCAGATTTGAAGAACTTTGACTTCAAAGAGCTACAGAATTCGTTTTAGCCATCAGCTGCTGTGGTGTCTTTGTCTCCCTAGTCATTAAATGTTAACTCTCCCCTTCCTCAATCTCTGCACTCTAGCCTTTGTCACCATTTCCTGTGACAATATGATGTTCTCTCTCCCACTGCACTCAAAGTATTCTGACAACCATAAGGCAAATTTGGAACTCTCTATTCCCAGGTTAAGTCTACTCTGGTATGTTATTGTTGTTGATGTTATTATTTATATTGTTTTTTTTTAATGAGGAAAAGTTCTTACTGTTCTTATAAATGCCAAAGGAAATATATAAGTAGATGTGAACTAAAAATAAAATCCTAAGCCCCCCACTAACTGAACCGATCCCTCTCGGCCCAGGGAACCCCAGAAAAAAAGCCTTAAAACTGAGTTCCCAGCCATGACAGGGTAGGAGATGTAAAGCACAATTACACATGCGTGTTTTCTCTTCATAAATATTCATAAGTCCTCTCCCTTGTTAAATATGTAGATTTAGTCACCTTGCTCCGTGTAAAATCCCATCTCCTTTTTTCACTCCTTTGAAACACATGTTCCTGGCTTATGGCCGGAGTAGTGTTTCCCAGCCTGTCAGAATGGCCACTGCAGGTTGAGACCTCTTCAGGAGAAATAAAGTCCTCAGTTTTTGAACACTTAAAGTTATTTTTAAACAATGTTTTTAAGATTTGTAATTTTTAATTATTATGGGTACATAATAGTTATATATCTTTATAGGTTACCTGTGATGTTTTGATATAGGCATACACGTGAATTAATCAAATCAGGGTAATTGGCTACCCATCCCCTCAGGCATTTACCATTCTTTGTGTTAGGAACATTCCAATTCTACTCTTTTAGTTATTTGAAAGTATACCCTAACTTATTGTTGATTATAGTCATTTTGTTCTGCTATCAAATATTGTTCATTGTTCATTCTGTCTATATTTTTGCACCCATTAACCATTCCCACTTTATCCCCCACTCCCTTCTACCCTCCCCAGCCTCTGGTAACCTTCACTGTACTCTCTGTCTCTATGAGATCAATTGTTTTTAGTATTTAGCTCCCATGTATGAGTGAGAACATGAGAGATTTGTCTTTCTGTGCTTGGCTTATTTCACTTAACATAGTGTTCTCCAGTTCCATCCATCTTGTCACAAATGGCAGGATTTCATTCTTTTTATGGCTATATAATATTCCATTGTGTATATGTAACATAATTTCTTTATCTGTTCATCCACTGATGGACACTTAGGTTGATTCCAAATCTTGGCTATTGTGAATATGCTGCAATAAACATGGGAGTGCAGATATCTTTTCAATATACTAAATTCCCTTCTTTTGGGTAGGCACCTAGCAGTGGGATTGCTCGGTCATATGGTAGTTCTATTTGTAGTTTTTTGAGGAACCTCTACTGTTCTCCATAGTGACTGTACTAATTTACATTCCTACCAAAAGTATATGAGAGTTCCCCTTTATGTTTTGTTTTTTACATTGGGAGAAATTTATTAATATTCTCACAAACCAAAGATTCCTTTTTTCCAAATCAACAGTCTCATAATTAGACTAATTACCATTAAAAACATAGAAGATTGAGGTATACCCTGGAGCTATATAACTGTGTTATCTATAAATGTTAGTGGGAGCATGCATTTCTGAAAGTGTGACCTATGTTTTCTCCTATTTCTTTCAGTTCTATAATTTTTCAAATTAGATGAGTACAAATAAAATTATCTTTCACCTCCTTTCCAATTTAGTTGTATTTTCATTTAATAAAAGTTTTGATGAATAATCTTTGGGAGGTAGACAGAGGATGGACACTTTTAATTATTATGCCTACAGTATAGGCTCACTTATTCATAAATGGTAAATGAAAATGGACTCAAGTGTATTAAAAGACTAAATCAAGTTGCCTTGCAAAATGCACTACCACAACAGCCCTAATACCTATTGATGTAGAGCATGAATCTTCTTTTGTATGTGTGATTCCCCATGTTGACAGTAATAATATGGATTTAATTATGAGATTTGGTGGCTTAGTACACTTATAAATTGTATGGAAAGTATAGTTCCTAAAAGACTTCCTTGTTTTACCTCAGATCCTCACCACTCCTGATAGAAGTGCACAGGAAGAAACTGCAGAAACCGTCCTGTCAGAAACAGAAGAAACAAAACCACAGATGAATAAGAGTAAACACATTTCTTGGCCTCCACAAGGAATATTGAATTTAATTATTACAAATGGTATGTGAAATAAGAAATGTAAATGCAGAGAAAATGAGAAATATATTTGATGAATTATTAAAACATGAGACAACAAAGCCACTGCTTAATCTTTATACTCCAGATCAGATAGATGATCAACTCTGTTACAAGTAATATGTGAACAAAGGGGAAATTATGCCCTTGAATTTTTCAAAGACAAAAACAAAAACAATATATTGCCTAAGAGGTCTATATTTTAATATTTTTCATGCCTTTTTATGCTAAATTTTTGAGATTAGAAGCAGCATTATTAAAGATTTTTATTTAAAACCTACTTTTGACATTTAGTTTCAAGTTAAGTTTAAAACAGCTACAACTTTGTAAAGGGTTGTATAAAACTTGCTTTCCCAATGAAATTTTAAAGCATTTCATTGTCATCAAATATTTATAAAGGTTCTCTTGAGATTCTTTTCCTAAATGTTCTATATGATTAACCTTAAGAGATTTCAACCTCCAAAGTATACAGCCTATAGAGAATAAAAATTAGATTAAAATATAGTAAAGAATAAGTAATTTAAGTTTTAAAGTTTTACTTTCTTATTTGCTGCTTGCTAACTTTAAACTTTTGAAGCAAATTTTATTCATTGATTTTTCATTGGTAAAGGTTGCTTTTTAATTAACATCAGTATTTTGAAGTCCCCGAATCAAGCTTTTCTCTGAATTTGAATGGTCCTCATCTGCCAGTGTAAGTGATTGGACTCCTTTGTAAATATACATATGTTCCTATGACCCTGTCTGTTTAGTAAGCAGTTTCTGTAGAGTAGTTGTTGGGAGTAGGGCCAGAGCCTGTGAAACATAGGGAAATGTCTTGGTCACCAAAGGTTATCCACTGAGTTTGGACTGCAGTTTGCTTAGGAACAAATTGAGGAGTTCTAAAACATCAGTATTGTAAATATTGTAACTTTAAACTTAGATCTATAACTCATTCCCTCCCCCCTTTTTCTTTAATTTTTGACTTAGAAGTTTTAGAGACATTTATAGGAAAAGGGGATTTTCCATGTTTATATTTTGGGCATGTATATTCTTGCACTCTCTTTTTTGAAATCTCTTTCTATCTATCTGTCTCTTTCTGTCAACGCACACACGCCCTTCATTCGTACTGTCTCCTTTATACCCAGTCTCTGGGTGTGCTTAGAACGTGTCATTATCAGGAATCTTCACTCTGTTCTATCAAGGAATAAGTAATATACAACCCTGTGTAAGTAAAATTAGATAATCAAAGAAACCCTTAAAACAGCATATACTTTGCATTATAAAAGGAAGTAGAACTTCAATTTCTCTATAAATAATAGTTAATTCACCAGTACCACAGTATATATAAGTTAAATTTAAATAGGCAATCTAAACTCTCAATCACATACAGAAATCAGTCTTATCATATTTAATCACACTGTTTATATACCTTATTTGGGGACTGGCTCACATACTCCCAAAGGAACGGATAATCTAGGCTTGTAGATTTAGAATTTTGGCTATTGTTCCTTTTTTGTTTCTTTTTAATTTTCGATAAAAGTACTAATATATTTTCGTGAAGTTGTTTTTCCTTTAAATAAATTAACACATTAACTTCCATATCAGTTGTATTTAACTCATGCTAGTTTTGAGCCCGGGGCCTTGTGAAGCATATGTAACTCACATGTCTCTTTACCTTGGGACCCACGTGAACTATTTTCCAAGTTGCATATAACTCATGCACAGAAAAGAATAAAAAATACAAATTTTTCATCAAATTAGAAAGGATCATTTTGGTTTTGAAGTTTTTATTCTATTTTCATAATAAAACACCATGGCCCCAAAGAAAAATTTTTTCTAGTGTGTTAAAGGAAAGCTTTGTTATACACCCAACTATGATTTTCAAGTAATCTTGGGAACAGAATTTCTCCATTAAAATCTTATCATGAGTTTTAATGAAGTTGGTAGTCTTGGTAGTTTAGGGTTCAAACATACTATTCCAGAGACTTCCAATTTCCAGTTCCACATGTAAAGAGCTTAGAAGTCATCACTCTGTCCTAACAACAAATAAAAAGTACAACAAACTGAAAAATTAGTAACTCTTCTTAGATCAATCAGAGAAGTGAGTCACAGGGCAAACAAAAATAGGAGAGACAGACAGATGGGTTCAGAAAATCATAACTTACAGGAGCAGAAACCAGTGGCAGAGTAGGGAAGCCTAAAGTATAATTAACAAATTGGCTGAATCTCTGTGTGGATAAGTCTGAGAGTTTAAAACTCAAGGAGGGGCCCAGTCATGGGATGAAAGAGACCCACACCTTTGTAACTTTTATCTCCTGCAGCCAACCTGCAGGGGGAGAGGGAAAATACCGGGGAAGGGAAAAAATAACCATTGTGAAATACACCCAGCATTCTGTTCTTCTTAATAAGGACCGCCCTCAAGAGAAAGTGTTTTACCAGAGCCTAACTTATACAGGTTTTGTCCGAGCCGAACCAACCTGGGGAAGGGAAATACCCAACTCCAACCAGTCCTCTCTAGCCTTCCACATGGTTGAAGGGAAACACCCAACTCCAGCCCCCTCTAACCATCCTGTACCAACTAGAAAATACTTGTGAAGTTCACAGCTCAGGGACACAGGCTCACTGAGACTGAGACCTCGTCATGGGACTACAGAACGTTACCTCCCCCCACACCTTACCACCACGCTACTAGAATCATATTTATTACAGGTCCTTTTAACCAGTACGTCACATTCACGTTTCAACTAAAATTCATAAGGTGTATTAAAAGGCAAAAAAAAAAAAACCCACAGTTTGAAGGACAGAGCAAGTATCAGTACCAGACCAAGATATACCAGGGATGTTGGAATTATCAGACTGTGAATTTAAAAAAATCATGATTAATATGCTAAGGTTCCTAATGGAAAAAACTAGACAACATATAAGAACAGGTAGATATTGTAAACAGAGATGGAGATTGTCAGAAAGCATAAGAAAGAAATGCTAGAGATCAAGAACACAACAGGCCAGGCGTTATGGCTCACGCCTATAATCCTAGCATTGCTGGGAGGCCGAGGCAGGAGGATTGCTTGGCTCAGGAGTTTGAGACCAGCGTGAGCAAGAGCAAGACCCCATTCCTATAATACTGAAAATAGAAAAATTAGCCAGGCATCATAGTGGCACATTCCTGTAGTCCCAGCTACTCAGGAGGCTGAGGCAGGAGGATCACTTGAGCCCAGGAGTTTGAGAGTGCAGTGAGCTACGATGACACCACTGCACTCTACCCCAAGCCACAGAGCGAGACTCTGTCTCAAAAAAAAAAACAAAAAAAAAAACACACACAACAGAAATGAAGAATGCCTTTGTTGGGCTCATTAGTAAACTGAACATAGCTGAGAAAGAATCTCTGAGTTTGAGACCATGTCAACAGAAACTTCCAAAATTGAAAAACAAAGAGAAAAATTACTTAACAAAAATGGAACAGAATATCCATGAACTGTGGGACAACTACAAAAGGTGTAACAAACATGAAATGGGAATACCAGAAGAGAAAAAGAAAGACAGAAAGGAACAGAAGACATATTTGAAGCCATAATGGCTGAGAATTCCCCCCAGATTAAAGTCAGATGCCAAATCACAGATCCAGAAAGCTCAGAGAATACCAAACAGATAGTTGTCCAAAAAACTACATCTAGGCATATCATATTCATTCAGAAAAATCTAAGATAAAGAAAAAATCTTAATAGAAGCCAAAGGAAAAACCTTACCTATAAAGGATCAAAGATAAGAATTACATCTGACTTCTTCTCAGAAACCAGGTAAACAAGAATAGGGTGGAGTGAAATATTTAAAATGTTGAGAGAGAAAACCACCAATCTAGAATTCTGTATCTTGTGAAACTATCCTTCAAAAGTGAAGGAGAAATAAAGATTTTCTCATATAAACAAAAATTGAGGGAATTTGTTGCCAGTAGACTTGCCTTGCAAGAAATATTAAAAGTTCTTCAAAGACAAGGAAAATGATATAAGTCAGAAACTCAGATCTACATAAAGAAGGAAGAATATTTGAAAGGGAATACATGAAGGTAAAATAAAACCTTTTCTTTTTCTTATT